ACATATATCCATCATCTTTGGTACCACTCCCACAAAAGTTATGATATTTATCGACAACACCGACTGACACTTTATTTTTTTGTATATATAACATTATCACACACTGAACTACCTCTTAAACATATTTATCTACCTCAAAAGCAAACGTTCTTCGCTCACCTCCATTTCATGCCTTAGAGCATTTTTTTCGAAATTTGTGTCAAACAAAATCATTAGCCTACCATAGGTTATGGTCAACAGTTCTACATCATTTTTATAATTTAGCTGTTTGAACAGCAAAAAAAAAAAAAAAACATTTAAGAATTTATGTCAACATTCCTAAGAGACAGTAACAAAGTGCCCGGGCAATGTTGAAAACAATTTCTTAACACCACAACAATTGACAGTTCAACGATGTGACTAATCTATGAATAAAAAAAAACAACAACAGCAGCAACAACAACAATAAACCAAGTCAATGTGTTAAAGGCGAGAAAATCATTTTCTCAGCCATACTTCACATTAATGTTTTGCATTGTCATTTAAATGGTAACATAAATAAGACATTCTTGCAATGGCAACAATGACAACAACAACACGAAGGAGGAAAAAAATGCAAAACTGTTATTGGACTGGCGACATTTTAAAGCATATCATGCAACGTTTGCTGCTGTTGTCTTTTTTTTATCAAAAGTTTCAATTTTTTTCCAAAGCTACGTCAAGTAGAAAACAAAAGCAAACAACATTGTTATAGCCGAACGACCGCACGCAGACGGGGTTAGAGTTGGCCATTTATGGGTCTGTCGGTGGAGCAACACTCTTGCTGATCACTGGCAAGACTCACTGACTCAGAAACATAATCGCAAGCACACACACACTCAAATGCAGAGCAAATCATTTGCAAAAACAAAAAAGGTTTAACAATGTTAACTTGCGAACATCCACAAGATGTCTCTCAAAAAAACCAAAATTCATCCCACTTCCTAGGCCAGCGTCGAAGTCACAAAACGTGTATATCTTCCATGGTATCTCTGGGTGCTTGCCAACTCCAATGAGTCTAACAACGTACTTAGTAGTACTTCTGTTACTGGAGTCTAATATTTTGAATAGATTTTAGGGTACTCAACTAGGTATTTTGTTTCGGAAGACAACGAAGTTTTATCCGCCGTTGTGCGGTATGCATTTGCTGAACGTTAGTCGGTCGGTCTGTACGCCCGCCCGTCTGTCTGCCTGATTTTTGCGGGTAGGGTATTTACTTGAATGTCGTGAGTCAAAAAATCTGGGGCGAACTATTGAGTAACAATAACAACAACAAGACAGACACACACACAAACAGCCACTAACCCGCCAAAACAGAAAACCAACCTAAAGTACTTTTGGTGTGCAAAGAAGCCAAGAAACTTTAACTTAAATAAAAACAAAACCTAAAACTTGTAGAGCCCACCAACTAACTATTTAGTTCAGCAACTGAAAGAAAGAAAACACAAAATATCGCAAGACGGAGAACTTCAAAATATCCATAAAAGTACAAAAAATAAAAAAAATACTTTCATATGGGTGGCTGCAGCATTGTCAAAATTGCAACCAACACCACTATCCACCCCACCTCAAATGAAATCAAAAGCGAAATTGAATTATTTTTTTTTAACTTCGTCAAAGTGCAACTTAAAAAATACCCTCTGCAACTCGATTCAGGAACTAACTAAAAATGAAAAATAAATTCAACACCACAATCAGCCAGCCAGCAACAACAGCAGAAAAAAATATGCACCAATAATGCACACTACCACCTCCTCCGCTGCCACCGATACTACCGACTAACAACAACAACAATATCTGTTTCGTGTGAATAATAACGGACTAATCGCTGTAATGATACTCGTGCTAATATAACGACCAACAGCAACAACAACAACAAAAGCAACAGCAACAGCAACGGGGCAAAATTCAAAATTTCAATTCAATTGTAACCGAGAATGAGGTAGTGGAGTGCATGTTTTGCATTTAACTTAAAATATATGTAGCAGCTGTGGGCAGAAAAATAGCAATACAAAAATAAAAATTTGATAAAATTGTGTTCACTGAAAACTGATAAAATAGACATAATGGCACCAAATATGTTGTGGAACTATAAAATTTAGTTAGTGGAGGTTTGAAGGGTTCAGCAGCTGGTGTGGCTTTTGGAAATTTGTACGCAAAAAGGGACTTAAGTTAACAAATATTAGGTGGAACATTAGGCGGAAATATGTCTCATTGAAACATCGATTTTAGACTAAAAATCCGCTAATTTGTTGTATGGCTGATATGATTCAATTTAATGCAAACTTTTGCATATCGTAGTATTTTTTGCAAACTTAAATTATGTTCGAAATTGGGGATTATCAGTTTTATCCTGCTGGAAACCTTCTCCTTTCCCTAATGCGAACAGAGTACTGATTTGATGAACACTTTGCTCAACGTTATATTTTTACAAACACTGAATGTGGTGCATGCATCCCTCACAAAGTGATAAACATCAAGTAAAAAAGTGTCAGTCGGTGTCGCCGACAGATGTATACCATCAGTATGTGGTTTGCGGAGATCTTCAAAATTACACACAGGTCTTATTATTATAGGGTGTATGTTTTTATCAAAGAGCACCCACGGGTCCCACCTCCATTTGATATATATTGGTTTTATAAATATGAACATTTCGACAATTTGTGGCGATGTACCAGAAGGAGTGATCCAATGGGTTCCATCTTTGGACTTGATCTAGGCTTGGTGAAGGTAATGGGTTGGGAAAGTTTCGTCCAAAGTAGTCCGGTAGAATGATATTATACAACACCAACCGGCCAGAAGGACGGACGGAAATGCATAAATCGACTCCAAATTGTCTGAAACGGATTTGGTCCAAAGAACATTGGGTCCAAAACCAATATTTCGTCGAGGCAAAAATTTTGTCGTATATACCCCCATAAGACTAAGCCAATTTTTTTAATATTACTGGCTGGGGCGAGAAACGGTTTATAGTAACAGCCCGGAGGTTAATTAGAATAGAGCATCGCCACCTTACTCAATTAATTCTTCTGTTAGTTTTATTATATTTTTTTATTCCAGTTAAATAGATGATTGGTCGGTTGTAGGCTTATCCTATGTGAGTGGGCTGACATCTATTGTTGCCTAGAAACAACGTATTCTTGAAATTTTGCAGTGGTTAATGTCCTTGCTTTTTTAATGTTGCCATGTTCCTCTGGGTGACAGGAGAGAGTCCCTTCAGTGCATTTCATCTGGAGGGCGATATAAGAGTATTTTTACAAATATTCGAAAATCAGTTGGAACCATTTCAAACAAAAGAAATATGTCTCACCTTAAAAACGATTTTATACAATAAAATCCGTCCACCGGAAGAAGAAACAAATGTTATGATGTTCAACGGAACAAATCGGTGTTCCGTTGAACATCATAACATTTGTTCAATAATTCTGTTGCCAAACTATAAATTTATAATATCATGCGAACGGAATATCCGGCAACTTTGTGCAACCTAATATCTTTACCAAACCCAAATCACTTTCAAAGGTCCGGTCCAACTTTCCACTAATTCTGATACATCCCTCACATAAGGATAAACATTTTGAAAATTTGTAAAACTTTTCCTCGACATTTTTATGTCGTAATATTGTTACCAACCACTCCTTCAACCACATATCCCACAAAAGGTCAAAATGTTTTAAATTTTATATATAAAATGAAGCTATTATTTTTACCAAAGTTATATTATTTTTGAAGATTTGTCTGTAATTACTCGCCACAAGGGGTGCAAATATGGACTCTATTATTCCAATTCCCAATACAACTTCAACAAATGTTCATACCAAATATCCAGACTCCAACAAGACTTAATATCAATTGTACAAAATGTAGAACTTTTCATACACTTCTGATATACATTTTCTACCGTAAGTTAAGATGGTCTTAACTCCCTCACTATGTGTTTTCATTCGCCAAAATCTTCCGACTCCACTGCATAGATGAAAATGACGCCACAAATGATGCCATTTTCCAAAAACAAAAAACGAGCAAATTAAAAATAATGCTGTTTCATTTCCGTTTCATTTGCGGCGGATATTGAAAATCAAATACTAATTATTTGTCATTCAGAGATTTCCATTTGACCTTGAGATAGATACTCGCTTTGTGTGAACTTTTCAGTCATGAACATGAAATTGCAACGACAGCGAACTTTGTAGTTCGGTTTTGCCCAGAGTGGTGCTTGTTTTGCTCTCCAATGATCTAAACAAACTAATTACCATTACCTATGCAACTCATCTCGCTCTGTGAGTGTGTGTGTGTGAGTGTGCAATTGAACAACAAATACCCTGACAATAAATCAAAACACAAATTATGATGATCATCATTTTTCCAACAACAACAACAACAGCAACACCAACTACAATACTGACACCACAAAATAAAGCAGAACAAAAAACGAACTGAACTTTTAGTTGAGTTTCGACAATGACTTCATGCGCTGGGTGACAGGCGGCGACAAGTATGTGGAAGTTGTTTGGAAAATAGTTTGCGCTTCATTTGCTTGGCTTAGAGTTAGTACGGCGACGGCTATGAAGTCATCTTCCGCAAAATTTGCATTCATTTTAATTTTTACATATTTTTTTGTTCGAAAAAAAGCAACAACAAAAGAAAAGTGAACGAAACTTTGAAAACAATAGAATGATTTATTAAAGAAAAGACAACAGCAACAACACCAAGAAATAATCGAAAAAATAAAAAGTGAAAATGAACGAAATTGGAATGGAAAATTTCCAAAGAAAGGCATAGACCTCCAGTTATTAAAGTGCAAAAATTAAACCCTAACACATCGTAATGAATAAAAGTGAAAGAAGAAGACATCAAAATTATCCGCATTGCTACCAAAAACAAACACACACCCACACTTCCAAGTAGACAGTAACTATTTGAGGCTTCGGGTCGGGTCCTCCTCTATTGTTACTCGCCACAATCCAAGTGTAATTGTTTTAATGATTTCAACTCTGGCACGGACCACAGCACAAAAAAAGAAACGCAAAAAACTCCCCAAGTCCTGCAAATGATCGAATGGTGGTGATTTTACTATTGCCGCCATATTCAACAAATGGCTGTGATGGAAGAAGTTCAAACGATAGCAGTAGCCCCGCCACAACAGCATCTACAACATCGACCGGTGACACTGCCATACCGGCGGCCAGCTATGCAGCCGGTCAATATCAACCAAAGATCGGCCAAGAGGACCAACAATACCGGGGACACGGAAATGACGCATGGAACTATCAGTACCACAACAGCATCCCACCGTTACAAACGACAACAACAACAACAACACTGCCGGATACAAGAACACAATCCACATTCGAGTACAAAAATAATACAACAAAACATCACACACAAACATCAACAACAGCAACACCGACAACAACTGACGAAGAGAGTAATACTAGTCATTATCACTGTTTTCAGAGTCCAGGTTCAATATCACCACCCCCGCCACCATTACCCACAAGCAAACCACCGAGTTATGTTCCTTTTGGCAGTGACTGGCTGCCGCCGCCGCCACCGCCCGCACCAGAGCCCAAGCTGTGTAATGTTGTACCAAAACCACCCCGTTATCGATCACAGCCAACATTGGAGACCATACTGGAACATGTTGTCAGTGATCCAGTCCAGTCCACAACATCCAATGAGAGAGTGGCACAGACAACACAAGGAACACAAATGTTCACAGGCTCATATCCAGCTGCGGGCGCCTATTATCCTACGAATAGCGGTGGTCCACTTCCTCCGGCTCCTTCTGCTCCACCTGCAAATAACAAGAACAACAAAAACAAAACCCACAAATCTTCGTACAACTACAGCAATAACAATAATTCTAATTATTTTACTAACACCACCACCACTAACTATGTCCGACACGTAACCCGTGTTAATTTCTATGATGTCGATACTTCCCAGGTCGAGTACGAATCTAGAGATTACGATGGCGATGATGCTGTGGCTGAAAATAAAGATGACTGTGATCTGGACGATGATAATGATTGTAATATAGAAGCTATAACCAAAGAAGGTATGTCCAAATATTGAAATGTTATTTATTTATTTTTTAAAATTAAGTAGAAATTTATTTGTATTGAATTTAAATTAAATAGGAAAAGTTTATAACGAAACCCAATTAAACAACAATAAGGGTTTGGGTAATTGTTTTAACTATTATCCCATTAGAATCTCAATTGTTACGATAAACAAGTAAAAACGTCGTTTCGTCTGGTGGAGAGCTCCACGATGAGATGGTCATTCAAAATATATCGAATCGGTCGTAACTTTGGGGGCTATGCTATAGTAAATTATTGGTAGGAGGATTTGACACTCAATAAAAATCCAAAATTATAAATTACATTCAAATTGGTTGAAACACGTGTCTAAACTTCCCAAATACCGACACTTTGAAACTTTCTAAATTGTACTAAAATCAAAATCAGGGATTTGATATTGAGCACAAAAGTACTAAAATTAGTACACTTAATAGTTGTTGAAGGAATTGTGCTTGAATATTGATTTGCAAATGTGCACTGTGAATATAGTCAATATTAATACACAAATCTATATTGTACTAAATTTGATGCATTTGTTGAATTGCGCTAAAAGATTCATATTTGGTATAGAAATCCATATTTAGTAGGTTCCAAATAGAATATATTTTACTAAAATAAGTACGAATCTAGGTTGAATGTTGAACTTGGGTATGGGAATTGCCATTAGTGTGTAGGGTTGAGATATGGAGGTGGATTTGGAAATTCGTTCTAAAAGTGTACAAAATTACTAAGTGGTACTAAATTAACCGGTTTATCGAATGGAACCAAATGTTGAGACAAGTGAGATTAGGAGGGGCTAATTTTTAAGAGCACTAAAATTGACTGGGCAGTATAAGGAATAACGATTCATTTTGAAGCCAATATAATTTTAATTATTAGTCCATAAAATCGAACACATATCTATATTAATAAAATAGTGAAGAGATTGTCTGATAGACTGACTTAACGATTTATGAACGCCCAGACGTAACGAAGGTGACAGATAAGGCGGCACGAAAAGTACCTAATACGATATAATTTCTATTTGGCGGACCGGTAGGGTTAGAACTCTGAAATTTGGCTTGAGGGTCAATAGATGCACTAACATGTTTTTGGAAATTCGAACAATACGAACAAACAACTTGAAATTCGAAATGGTAATCAAGGTTTAGAAGTAGGGTTAATATACATAGGTGGTTTTGGAAGTGTGTACTCATGTATACGAATAGTAATAGCGTAGTAAATTTGGTACAATTTAAATTTGGAAGAAAGGATATTATAATTTTTTATTCTAGCTAATTAGATGATTAGTCTGTTGTAGGCTATCTTAGGTGTGTGTGGGATGCCATCTATCGTTCTCTAGAAACAACGTCTATGTTGTTGCCATGTTCCACTGGGTGACAGGATATAGTCCCTTCATTCCTATTTTTGCGTTATCGTCAAGTGTTGGTACTGATGCCGTGATTGGTTCGGATTCATTTTATCAGGAGGGGGATATTATAAGAGTATTTTTTAAATACTCGAAAATCTGTTTTATCCGAAAAGTACTAAAATGTACTAAATTTCGTAGCATGAGAACGGATAGAACAAAAAACTTGAAATTTGAAATGATAATCAAGTTTTAGAAGTAGGGTCGATATTAGGAGGTGGTGTTGGAAGTGTGTTCTCAGGTATACGAATAGTACTAAACCGTAGTAAATTTGGTACAATTTGAATTTGGAAGAACGGATAGATCGGAAAATGCACATTACCGTCAGATTGTGTACGAAAAATAAGAAATGGTACTATATTTAGTTCAATATGGGTGATTCGTTAGAGCTGAAACACTTGTATTAAATTTGATACAATGTCCATTTAGGTGATCCGATAGAGCTGGAATCCTGGAGTATAGGATTAAGATTACTTTTGGAATGTAAGATTTGGTTATGTAGGAAGTTTTAGAAATTCGTACTAAGGTGTACTAAATTTGGTACAATTTGGAGTTAGGTTGAACTGATGGGGCAGGAATCCTTATATTGGGAAATATGATTTCTATTGGATTTATGACGTGGGTAATTATTGAAATGTATATTAATGTGTACAAAATTTGGTACAACTTGAATTTGGATGAACCTATAGAGTTCAAATCATAAAATTTGGAATTAGTTTTAGAACAACAGTACAAAACGATATTAATGATACCACATTTAGTATAAAGATAGATTTATGTTGCGGCGGTCGGATAATGGAGGTAGTTTTAGAACTGCGTGAAATAAGAGAACAAAGGTGCTAAATGGTACTCACATTTTAATTATGATCGATAGTAGGTTGAGGAGCTTTCCTGATATATGCAGTTTTCTGTGCAAAAAACATTATATGTTAAGACATGGTTAAATATTTCTACATTCTCTAACAAAGTAGCGGGCATGTGCTAGTTAAGAAATATGTTAAAATATCGTCATGTATTTCCTAAACACACTACAGTTTTTATCCAACATTTCGTTTCAAATATAAAGTTATTTACGAGGATAAACTATTCAATGATGTCAGGCAATTAATAACAGCACTACCACTACTGTTGATTATAGACCACATATTTGTGGCAACAATCCGTGACATTCCACACTTTGTAATCTCCGATCTAAACCTTCAATATGTAACATTATACCCTTAGAATGAACCTTCCCAATATATTTCCGCATTAATAAAAATATTCTGCTTGAATGAATACTATGGAAATTGATTTGTATTGATTTGGAAAAAAACATGATTTTGATTACAATCTAATTCTTGTTCTGTTTTCATTTTAAAAAATGCATTTAAAGTTAAATGCCTGAATGCTAACAACAGTAAATCTGTCAACAGTTTTCAAAACTTGTCGCTCAAAACTAAAAAAAAAATAATTGCAAATGTTTTTCCTGTTGTTGATGAGTAGCAAAGAAGTGATGTGCACTGAGACAATGCGTTGAAAAACAATAAACAACAACAACAAAAGCAACAGCAACAACTTTGCAACCGAACATGCAAACTGGACGTTCGTACATGTAGTAATACAACAATTCTCTCGTAATAACTAAACGACCTTTAATGGTCCAGTGCAACAATTGCAACAACACAATGCAAATTAACGGTAAATTTCGGAATGAAACACTAGCCGAAGTAACAAAGAGTTTAGATATCACAATGATGTGGACGGACAAACTAGGAATTATAATTATACCCTCATAGGAAAATAAAGAAGAAGAAGAAGAAAAACTTAACTAAACACACATATACAGCCACACGTACATACATGTACGCAAATTTTGTTAAATTACAAACTGCTTAAAAAAGGGGGTATGGCAACGATAACTAAATAAATTTAAAGCTGTAACGACGTATGTACTTAGTTATGAAGTACGTATACGCACAGTGGTTTTTAATTGAAAAAATTACATTCATATGAAGCAAGTAACAAATTTCGACAGGGACGATTTTTTTGGTGATTTTTATATATTTTTGGAAAGAAAATCTCAAATATCAAAACTATATCGAATTCTGTTGGAAAATCTGCCTAATATACCCAAAATTCCGAATAAAGTGGGGTACCATTATAAGGGGCCTACCCCATAATTTGAATGTCAGTTATTTGTTTGAAAATGTGTCCAAACTCCCCAAAATACTGAAATTTGGGAAGTACCTTTATTACCCTATGTAATGGAACAATATCGATAATTTTTGAGAGTCCAAATACAAAAGTACCGCCAATTTAGTTGAAAAACGTGCCCAAAATACCGAATACTTGGAAACTAAAATACCAAAATACATACAAATCGGCTGAAGACATGTCCAGAATTCCCTCAATATTGAATACTTGCAATGCTCTATTTTAAATATTGCAATTCTATTGTGATTTCAACAGAAAGACGGATATGGCAAAATCCACATATAATTTTATTTTATTCAGAGACCCATAAAGTGTCTGATGAATATTTCCAGGTGTTGCCTTGGAGGTGGTGTTATAAGTATAATGATTCATATATATTATATTTCATATTTTACCTCTCGAATCACTGTGTTAGATATGATGTTGCAAGTGCAAAATGTGTTAGATTACTTTGTGTTTGCAAGTATATACAACTAAATTTGCATGTTTTCTTTTTTTGTATGGCTGGCTGTAGGTATGCACGTAGGTAGGTTTGCAGGTTTTAACAACATTTAAGTATATTTCAATAAACCATACACTTGTACATACATAGCTGTTAAACACTGACGAGATACGTTTACGTCGTCATCGTTTAGAAGTTTGCCAAACCGTTAGGACCGGAAAAACAAGAAACACATTAGCAGTGAAGGCGAAAACACACTCACACACAATGTACAACTTGATATATTGAATCATCATTAATTAGCTCTCATTATTAAGGTGATGAATTCTTTCACATCACACGCCAATGTGGACAGTTCTTCAAAACAAAAGCAAAAAACAAAGCTCGGCACATCCAAAAAATACTGACAGCCATCAAACCACCAGTTGCTAGTCAAACAGCCAGTCAGTCAATCGTAGTAGCAGTAGAGAGTAATATTATGAAACATCAAATAAAATCATTGATGCAAAACGTATCGCCAACATTTCGTTAAGCCAGTGATGAAGTTTTAAAATCAAATTGCAAAAAATTAAAAAAAGAAAAAAACGCAGTTTAATATAGGCTAACGAAAGCATTTCAATATAAAAAACAACAAACACTCATATACATTTACAAATTTTGCACATCCAATTGAAATGTTTGTTTATATTTACTTAACTTTAGTTTTTATGTTTATAAAATTAACGTAATTTTAATGCCCTTCACATTCAATATACATATTTCAAGAAATGTGTAAAATATGAAAACTTAGCATACTTTTAGGCTGTTGTAAACAATATGTTACACCCAAAAGAAATATTAAAAGTTATTGTGGCTAACTAAATATTTTTTTCTCTTTCTGTTTCTATTTTGGCTCTCCCAATCGCACAAATAATAATTGCAGAAGAATGGATAACAAAACGAAAAACCGAACTTACCACAACCCGTCAAATCGAAACCCATGTCAAGCGTCAAATACGTTTTGAAGATGGCAAAGTTATTGAGGATTCTGGTCCCATTGTATCAACAAATACCACCGAGGATACGGATAAACAAGAAACTGAAACGACAGAGGTAAGTGATAAACATACATTAAAGCGAATAAGCATAAATCTATAAATATAATAGGTGCATTAATAGACAGACAGTAGTCGGCAAATTAATTATGACTTCATGAAAACTATTATTGCTTATAAAAATTAGAAAAATAGATACCAGATTTTCAAAATATATAATGATAAAATATTATAATAATGACATTACTTGGCGATTCGAGTATGTCAAAATCAAAAAAAATCAACAAAATATGGCTAATTTACATCAAATGTAGACATATTTGTTCCTAAAACTACAAAAGAAAAAAATGAATTTTGAATATTAAGAGGCCTAATAAGACTTGAAAGCTAGAGATGTTCAGATCGACATAGGTAATTTTTTGGATACTAAAATGAAGTTTATTGCATTTAGAAGAAACATTTGTTCTGGCAATTTGTACTTTAGTACTTTTTGGTTATAAATGTATGGTATAACCAGAAATATGCGGTTAATTGTATGGTTAGCAAGGAATTTTACTTTTCCCGCCTCCGACGGTCCCCACCATCGGACTTGATAAGATACTAGGTTAAGCAAAGTTAGGTTCAAATCGGACATTCCATCCGTCTGATATTGGATATATATATATATATATATATATATACCATTTAAGGGGAGCTACTAGAAGTAGTGGACCAACAGGTCCCTTTTTAAGGACTTGGTAAAGATATTAGGTCGTGCAAAGTTTGGTTAAAATCGACATTACATTCACCTGATATTGTATTTATAAATATTACAAATTTTAAAAATTTATTAGGGAGGTACTGGAGTTACTAGAAGGAGTGGACCAATGGGTCCTATCTTTGAACTTGATTTAGGCTTGGTAAATATAATAAGTTGTACAAATTTGTATTCAAATCGGATAATCCGTCCGCATGATTTTATAAAATTAATTTTTAGCACAATTTTGACCATTTTGTGAGGGAGGTACAGAAGGAGTGGATCGATATTCAATATCTTCGAATTAAAATTATGTTTGGAAGAAATATTATGATGTGCAAAGTTTGGATGAAATCGTTTACTCCCTTCGAGACAGACAAACGGACATTTATATATATATATATATATATACCATTTAAGGGGAGCTACTAGAAGTAGTGGACCAACAGGTCCCTTTTTAAGGACTTGGTAAAGATATTAGGTCGTGCAAAGTTTGGTTAAAATCGACATTACATTCACCTGATATTGTATTTATAAATATTACAAATTTTAAAAATTTATTAGGGAGGTACTGGAGTTACTAGAAGGAGTGGACCAATGGGTCCTATCTTTGAACTTGATTTAGGCTTGGTAAATATAATAAGTTGTACAAATTTGTATTCAAATCGGATAATCCGTCCGCATGATTTTATAAAATTAATTTTTAGCACAATTTTGACCATTTTGTGAGGGAGGTACAGAAGGAGTGGATCGATATTCAATATCTTCGAATTAAAATTATGTTTGGAAGAAATATTATGATGTGCAAAGTTTGGATGAAATCGTTTACTCCCTTCGAGACAGACAAACGGACATTCGTAAATCAACTCCAAATTGTCTGAAACGGATTTGATCCAAAGAATCATGGGGTCTAAAACCAATATTTCAATTTCCGTAGCACATTTTTCCGTAGCAAAGTGTATATACCCTATATAAGGCTGAGGGTATAACATCGCGAATTATGAAGATGTAGGATTGAGTACATGACGATCTAGAACTGACCCTGTGGACGACAAATAGTCACCTTTTATGGGCTTAAAAGTATGACGTTGAAATCAGCCATCGTTCGGTTGCCATCATGTGTAATTTCTGAAAAAATAGTTAAAATAGATGATTAAACCACGACCCATTTTCGATATATTTATATATTTTTGTATCGAGATTCCAATCTATACGCGTTAATAATACATCCGTTTCTCATCCATCAAAGAGTTCATCCAAAAGATCGGAAGTCCTTCGGGCACAAAATTTTTAAAAAGGATTTTTACTCAAGCTGGAGTCTTTAAGATTAAGAGCAAATTTTGTATGATTATAATAAAGCTAATGACAGATCCTTGGGCCCTACCGTGAAATTTTATCATAATAATTAATGCTGTTATTTCCCTTCATAACATTTGTATCACCCACTGTCTTCTATTTCCAATAACTTATAAATAAGCACAAGAAACATAGTTTACATAATATTATTACAATAACAAAAATAACAACAACAATTACTATTACAGAAACATGATTTGGGCCTACCTTTAACCAGCCTAAACGGTGGTGGAGTAGATGGCAAAACAAAAGGTGCTCTACCACCTGGTACCACCGGATCAAAAAATGGAGAATTGGCTGAGTTGGCGGGCAGCGGAGGTACCCTTGTTAAAACTATGGTACCCAGACCGGCTGATGGTCTGGTTAGAGAGATCAATGACAAGCGTGTAGTGTCTCATGAAGAAACCAAGAATTACATCGAAGTGGAAGATGTACAACATCGTGGTGATTTTTCCGATGAGGTAAGTCTAAGGATTCTTAAGTGATTTTCTTTGATTTTCTTCACATAAATTAAATGCAACCAACTCCCTGCCAAGTAAGAAGTATTTTGTTGTGTCCCCCAACTCTTTCGACTGCTGCAATTATCTGCTAAAGATCGTAGAGCCTCTTAACAAGTTGTTGTATTTAATGTTGCTCACTACTGCCAACTGCCAAACTGGCTGCATAGATTCGAATTCCGATTCTGCGGTAAGCAAAAACAAAAACACACAAATCTACTTCAGCAAAACAAGAAACCACAACCAGCTGAAGTAAAGACGCTGCAGTCGCAGCAACCGACCGCAGCAGTTCCAGATACAGAATTCAAACGAGGCGGCAACATATTTTTATCGGCTCCATGCTCAGTCTGTGAGTGGAGTACAAGCCATTAAGACGTCGTTGTGGAGACGAACAAAACTGTTAGAAAAGAAATACTACCGATAGATAACCGAAACAAACAACGGGTTCGCGGTACGCGTATTCTCAGCTTGATGTATTAGTAATAAATAAAAAAACAAAATTTATTTCGATTCGTTCGTTTGTCTGTCTATCCGTCTGTCGGTCATTTGATCCGTGGATTAATACTGTGTTTGTTTTAATTAAAAATCACAAAAAAAAACAAAGAAGTTGAAATAAAAAAACAGAAGCAAAAGAAAACAAGAAAAACAACAAACATAAAATATTGTAAAGCAATAAAAAATATACAAATCGAATTTTCAAGCCGCGTTTAATCCAATTTCAAACAAATAATCCAAAAATAATAACCTCTTCAAAAAGTAAGCTCAAAATTAAGAAAAGAATAAAAGTAAAACAAAGCAACGAAGGAAACTTCAATTAAATCGACATTCTAGTCAAGTCATCTCATCTCCCGTTTCATAACGTTGACCTTTGTTGTGAAGATGTTGAAGTTGTTTTCTTTCTTCTTCTCCTTCTTAGATCGCAAAACTTCATGGTGTAGTACTCGTACTTTAAATGTTGTATGCTGTGTGTGCTTAAAAGTGTTTATTTGTATGATGTGTGTGTTAGTGTGTTTAAGAGTCACATTCAAACATGCCAATGAAATGAAATGGGAGAAGAAGAAGAATATTTAACAAAGAGCAACAAGTAGCAGATATTCAGACCAGTCAAGCCTATGCTTCGACTGGTAGACAGGCACAACTCGAGAAAGGAGAGAATAGCCAACCCATCCATCCATCGTTAAATGTGCTAAAACAAAAGACTTAAGCAACAAACCTTCGTTAGAGGCAACAGACAAACAAGCAACCCAACAGCCGACATTTAATCGTTTGTTTTCGTAGGCATTGAGAATGCCAGCCAACAGCAGCAGCCACAACAATCACCAGCGACCGTTGCCAGGCACCAAAACCACCTACCGCCCACTTACCTCCTCGAGTTAACAAACAAACCAACAAAAACAAAAAGAACAAACCAACAACAACAGCAATAAGAACAAAGCATACAACAATAATTATTTGTATGGTAACAATTTAATTCCGACAATATGGAATAAAAATTGGATTAAGGAAAAGAAAACAAAAAAAAACGAATGTTTTTGTTGTCAGCACAGAAGCTGTCAATTGACATAACAAAGAAAAGTGGATTATATAAAAATTAACAAAAACAACAAGGCATATAATGATTTAATCATATAGGCTTCCATCAAGGTGTTAACACTCGATTGAATTTGAAATAGAATTTTAAATCAACAAGGAAAAGTTGTAATATTTCACGCAGTTGAAATGCAAAATGTTGTAACTAACAAAAATAGATTTTTATTCAATTCTTGTAAATCGTTCAGGGTACAACCTGTATACGTAAATATTGTTGGTTGATTTATCATTACATAAACATAATTTATGATGTACCGGTTTTCGAACTAATTTAAAATAGAAATTTGCCATAGAAATGCAAATTATGTTTTATTCGTTCAACATCAATGAATATTTGAAATGTTTTAAATGATACCGTAAAAATGTTTAACACAAATAAACAACTTTTTATTAACTTACATTGAGTCAGACTATTATGAAATAACAAAATTTAAGGAATCAATTCATAGTAATTTTAACAATCTTCCCCGGAATGTTCGTTTATCCCTCCGCCAATTATTATTATATTATTCTCTATATTTTAATAGAAGACTATTGCAGATTCTAGAATAGGGCAACTATACCTAGAATATGGATCACACTTTTTTAATATCAGTAGAAGTTGTATTATTCCAATACCTGTGGAAGTTGTCTACCCTCTGTGAATACTAAATTTTATAAAAATTAGTCGTAAAGGAAACTTAAAACAGATAGTTGCAGACAAGTACCGCCATAAGCCTTGATATGTTTCGTTAATTTTGGCTGATCATGGTTATTGTTTGATTCAATCATATACCACCCGTTCTGCATAAATTTAAGAAAATACATATTTCTAGGACTCAGTTTACGACAGACACCTTCTAGAGTTATTTAGAAGATGATTCAGATCCTAGTCTTTATGAATCGTTGACAAGTTTTCAATGAAAATGGAATCTATATCGAATAAATAGGTCAGGGTTACAATCTCATCCCTACCAATCAACCGATGTGTATAGCTGCGAAGCATTGGACATTGGAAGCGATATATTAGATTCTGTAGTACATGTTATGATTTTTAAAATCAGATTAATATTTTTCTTTGGAAAGAAATCAGTGCTTCAGAAATCATCGGACATATAAATTAAGGTTCTGCATCCCGACTCCTCACTTCGCCTATTCGCAGTACCTCGAAGTATAGATTAAGGATACTGCAATAGAAAACATGTAGTTTAACCAACAGATCGTCTATGATCCACCTTGAGGAATTTTGTGAGGTATTCCCTTTTACATTACTATGATCTGGACGCCAACAAAGTGTAACAAAATGGCATAAGTTACGCACAACTATTTGAAATTCATAAACTGTCATCGAATTTATAATCCGCGACTCGACCTTTAGGCCCGCGTGTATTTTGACTAATTCTGCGAATTTAATGTGTGTCGTTTGTATATATTGACAGCCGGTCTAGAAAAGGTCGTCCTTGTTAGGGATGAGTATCTGAGAGTGGCATATAACCATGTATAGAGCCCGATAAAAGGTGCGATGTAGACCTTTGCTTGCTGAGAAAGCCCTAGATTCACTCTATTCAAGACAACTCTGACAAGAACACCAATGTACTCCGCATATTGTCGATAATTTTGGTAAAACATATCACTTATCAGTACGGTCACACTTGCTTAGTGGGAGATGATTGGTGGGAGTGGAAATCTCTTCGATTCTTGTGTGAATTATTCTAATTTTGACCATTATTTTGTCCGGAATACATAATTATAATTCATTAATCTATTTTCCTTGCACTTCATTTATATTTTTTCTATTATAACATATCTAATCTAATAATTAAAAAAAATCGACTTAACACTTTTTGGCATTCAACCCACAAACAATGCCAAATATTGCATAAAAGCTCAAAGCCACCACAATCAGCTGGATTGAATAAAAAACCCCCATATAAAGAAATATTTGCGGAAATTATTTGAAGGTCAAACGTCTGTGGCCAATCAAAAAAAAAAATGTATTTTTGGTCAGTGAATCATTCGGTGCGTTCACTGCAGGGCAAAGAATGGTTTGTCTGCTCTTCTGAGATTCCAGTTTTAGCCCTAAATAATTAAAGCAGAAAGGGAAAAGTGAGTTAAGAAATAATAAAAAAAAAACTAAAGATGCCATAGCCAGCCAGTTGGGTAATGGGAGATGTGGTTAGTGAATGCTGTTAGCCAGAGGTGAAGAAGCTGACGTTTAATAAACACAAAAACCTGTTTAATGCCAAGTAAAAAGTTGAAAATAAGGAGAAGAAAAGAAGTTTTGTTTAAAAAATAATACAAACAAATTGAAGAAATTGAAAAACGCCTGGTGGTGCTGCTAACGTCATCGTCATCGCTTACTTTGGTCGGCAGAAAAATCCTGCTATTAAATTGTTTGCTGCACTGCTCTGCTCTGTTTAAACAACAGCTGAGGTTTGTAGGTTCGATGTGTGTACGTACGTGTCTAGTAACAAGTATTGAAATGTTTTGTGCATGGCAAACAAAATTCTTAACCTGGCCAAATGTTGGTATGATCTACAATACCACGTACACAAACACACACACGGGCACACAGCACAAACCCCCAACTCCATCCTCCACATGGTCATATCGATATGAACGAAAAACTATTGAAGGCAAATAATGAACAGAAGAAAAACAACAACAACAACAAAAACCATAACTACAACAACCTTAGTCTGTGCTTTGCATGCAAAATGTTGTCTTTTTATGGACAAGATTTATTAAAATCCAACCGAATGTTCCAATGTACCACCAGCACCAAAAACCCAAAAACAACAACAACGAAAAAGACAACCACACTGCTGCTATGCAGAGAGACTTACAACAGCCACACAATCAAACTAAGCCGGCCACTGGAGGGGCACCAATAAGCCAGCCGCCAGAGAGCTTAGCATAATCCAAGGCAAACGAGTCTTAAAGTCTCTTGGGAATAAAAGTAACGCGTTCATTAACCCGAAACGTACATTTTGCCGATTATACGATGGATATTTTCACTTAGCCCAAATGATACAGAGATAGTAAAATAAGAAAAAGAAAAAAAAAACAGAAATCCAATTGGACATTTCGTTTGACCGACCACTAGTTGTTTGCCCTCCTTTTTGTTGTTAAAGTTTTCAATAGTGGGTGGGAGAGTGTTATAACCATTGAAATTTGCTTAATTATTATATAATAAAAATGGGGCTCCCATATAAATATATTTAGATTTTAGAGAAACTAAACTACATTTTTTACCCTCCACCATATGGTCGGCATTCAAAATTACACAGTTCTTCAAATACCTTTATATGAGGACTACAACTATATCTATGAGAAACACAAATTCCAATACGAATTACTGCAATTACAAATTACATACATTCTCCTAAAAAATC